ACCAAGTCCCAAAAGTTTAGTATCTTCGATTGACAAAAAAGTGCATTCGTATGTTCTTTATATCCAACTACGTGAGCTATTCGGATTATTTGGAGCTTTTTTTATTGTAATTTAAACAATATGTCTGTGTTACTTTTATAAGAATTTACTCGTACCATATAAATTTTAATAATAAATTCAAAATAAGTAGCAAAAACGAAAAGAGACAGGCGTGAAATAAGGCAGAGTTATATAAATATGCGGCACGAGCGGCTCCATAGAGACACCGGTCAGTAAACAGAATCAAAACAGTGAGATTAATGAGCGGTAAACATTTAACTTGTGAAACAATGAGCCCGATCCCGCGCGTGTTTTGACGGACGGAGGAGCATGTGGCGTCATGTGAGCCATCAGCACCGTCTCACTGTTAAGATTGTGTTTGTTTTAGATTCAGACAAAGGTCAACGAGCACACGCCTCGCTTAGTCACAGGGACCCGGAGGAAAGCCTGTTCAAATACTGAGAAATACTAAGAAACAAGGAGCAAGTATGTGTATGTGTGGATACTGACATAAAAAATAACGCTTATATTAGTCTTGCCCACTTTAAAGGTCTTATATTACACAAAATTGACTCTTGTGAGCATTAAGCCGTGTTATAATGTTATTATCATCAAAAACAGACCTGGAGCTGTCTGATTTCATTCACACAAGTTTGAGTAATTCTATATTATTCGCAGTGTTGGAAGGTGACTTTTAAAATGTATTCCCCTACAGATTACAGATTACATCCCCCCAAAATGTAGTTTGTGACAGAATCCATTAAGTTACTTTAGGTGAGTAACGTAATCTGAATACTTTGGATTACTTGATTTGCTGTAGAGAAGCAAAGATGAGGACATCGTCACATAAAATGTTTTGTCTGATAAAAGAAAATAAAAAGCCCAGACTTTACTGAACCAAATTAAAAATATTATTGACAGAAGAGGAGGAAACACGTCCACACAGCATGATTTAGTCCTGTTAAATCCTGGTTTAGACCTGGTTTAGTCCTGGTTTAGACCTGGTATAGTCCTAGTTTAGACCTGGTTTAGACCTGGTTTAGTCCTGGTTTAGACCTGGTTTAGTCCTGGTTTAGTCTTGATTTAGACCTGGTTTAGTCCTGGTTTAGTCTTGATTTAGACCTGGTTTAGACCTAGTTTAGTCCTAGTTAAGACCTGGTTTAGACCTGGTTTTAGTCCTGGTTTAGACCTGGTTTAGTCCTGGTTTTAGACCTGGTTTAGACCTTGTTTAGTCCTGGTTTAGTCTTAATTTAGTCCTGGTTTAGTCCTGGTTTAGACCTGGTTTAGTCTTGATTTAGTCCTGGTTTAGACCTGGTTTAGACCTGGTTTAGACCTGGTTTAGTCTTGATTTAGTCCTGGTTTAGACCTGGTTTAGACCTGGTTTAGACCTGGTTTAGTCCTGGTTTAGTCTTGATTTAGTCCTGGTTTAGACCTGGTTTAGACCTGGTTTAGACCTGGTTTTAGACCTAGTTTATTCCTGGTTTAGACCTGGTTTAGTTTCCAGCAATGAGAGGAATTACCAAAAAAAAAAAAATAATAATAATAATGTGAAAACAGGAAAATCCCGCCGTGTAATCCATTTATTTTAACAAAGTAACTGTAATCCAATTACCACTCACTGAAACAGTAACTGTAACTGAATACAGTTACTCATAATTTGTACTCTGATTACAGATAACTGTGGTACATGTAATCTGTTACTGCCCAACACTGATTAAAAGTCTGTCAAAGCTCAAACTGCTCTGTTCCACCTTGTGATGTCATGTAGTTGTAGCTTTCAAGTTAACAGCTACATTTTACTTTCAGTTCAGTAGAGATTAGAGAACAGAGACTGACAATACCAGAGCTGACATTTTTCACCTGATTCTCGTGAAGGTCTATGGAGTTTAGAAACACAGTGGAGCACTTCTTGTATTGCCCCAGGGCGTCACAAGATGGAACAGTGAGTTTTCTGTTTGAGAGAAGAACTCCGGGTATGTTTGTATGTTGTATGTTGTCATGCGGGAGGAACTTGGAGTAGAGCCGCTGCTCCTTCGCGTCGAGAGGAGCAGTTGAGGTGGCTCGGGCATCTGTTCCGGACGTCACCCTCAGGAGGTGTTCCCAGGGAAGGAGGAGGCCCCAGGGAAGACTCAGGACACGCTGGAGGAACTGTGTCTCTCGGCTGGCCTGGGAACGCCTTGGGATCCCCCCGGAAAAGCTGGAGGAAGTGTCTGGGGTAAAGGAATTCTGGGAGTCCCTGCTCAGACTGCTGCCCCCGTGACCCGGGCCCAGATAAGCAGAAAAAAATGGATGAATGGTTATGTTTTTGATAAAGAAACAATATTATAACATAGATCAGAAAACAGCGTAATAATGGGCGCTTAAAAGCTCAAAGTTCTTGTCATTTATAAGAGCAAATTTTCCTTTATAACAACAACAACAACATCAAACCAAATCATGAATAATAATAGATTTGGAGATGGGTGACAGGTTTTCCCGATGGTATTAAAGGCTGGGTCAAACACAGAGGACAAGTTTCCACCCAGGGACAATAAAATTAAGTGTATTTTAACTTTGATGAGAAATTTGTCCTTCGCATTTGACCCGACCTTCAATTCCTAGTGCCTCTGGGAAACGTGTAGGGAGCAGTGGGCAGCACCCATGGGAACCAGCTCAAGATCAGAGCCAGAATCTTACTAAAATGATACCTGCACTGGAAAAAAACAATATCTAGGTAAGGTAAAATGACTTAAATTAAGAACATTTTGACTTTATTTGAGTCGATTCAACTTGACAAGTGAGATTATCTACCAATGGAATAAGTGTGTTTTTCTTAATTCAAGCAACATTTGATTTTGTTTCTTATTTTAGGTCCAAAAAGTTGTTATTTTTTCTTATTTTAAGCGTACTGAGATGTATTTTCATATTTTAAGTACAAAAAGTCTTAGATAATTTTACTCGTCAAGTGAAATTTACTCAAATCGTGACAAAACTTTCTTAATTCAAGTCATCTCGATTTTGTTTTTTGCCGTGTTTTTGAAGTATAAGTCTGTTTTGCGTTCTAATTCCTCTCATTGCGAACACAACTTTTACATTTTTGGACAAAGACATGCATAAATAAGTGTATATCCGTGCAATAAAGTACCCAAATATTAGGCTTAGTGGAAAACTTTTTTGTATTTTCAGCGCCAAATCCCTTTATTGTCTTGATCAACACTGAGTGGCCAAAATGTTCCACCAGCACATGCCCCGAATCCAAGGGGTAACATGATCTTTTCACCGCTCAAATCATTTAAAGTTACATTTTTTTTGTTTGACATTTTGCTATAGCAGCTCATTAAAAGTATATTTGGCCACGTCCTGTAAATATTCCTCATCTGGGTGATAATTATTGACAGTGATACGCAGTTGGGAGAAAATTTTGAGCGAGCAGAAGTAGTTATAAATGTATTACTTTGACACTATAAAACATTTTAGTCTGCAGACAGCCTGTCCTATCTGCGTTATTGCCCATTAAAAGTCTGTCTGGGCCTATTGTAAAATACTGTTCTAATCCACTGTTTGAACAATATTAACCTTTGAGCCATGACTTTATGACTTTTCTTTCAGTCTGTTAGAAATCCTTGCGGAGTTTTGTTTTCTTTGTGTTATTATTATTACTTTTTGGTATGGTTTTAGTTTATCAGAATCACTAGAAGTTGTTTTAGATTGAAAAATAAGCAAGAAAGCGCAAAAAAATCATGTAAAAAGTTCCACCCTTGTGTTGTGAAGTATGTATACATTTAATTCTCGCCGTGACCGAAAGAGGGCGCTCCAGTCCACGGATCCCGCTGCGCTCTCTCCTGCTCGCTCGTGTTGCGCTTATCCTGATCTACCCGCAGCAAGGCCTGATATGAACCCCGGTACTCCGGCTCCGGTTCCCCGCGGGGCCCCCCTCTCTCTCCACACACCCCCAGCGCGGAGACCACACCCCCCGCTGCCCCCCCAGCTTTATCTCCGCGGCTCCTCTCTCTCTCCCAGGCTCGAGGTTGAGTCGTGTCGGAGCAGGTAAAAGAATAAATAAAGCCAAGGGGACACTCTTTTTTCCACAAATATACTCGGAATTTGTAGAAAGTTTTATCTGACTCGTTTTTATTGGGGGGTGTTTATCTGATAGGCCCGGATTTATCTTTTTGGCACAAGTCCAACGGAGGGATCAAAGGTCATTTTATGTCCTAAAAATACGTCAATGAGAGACACGGGTTACGTGTAGTTGATGATTTATATGAGCTTTGGCATAAGAGAAACGGCACCGTGGTTTGCAGCATGCGCCGTGCGTAATTACGCATCATCCAAGTGTGCACAGTTTAACGCGAATTAAAGGCAATGTGTAATGTGTAACGCAGCAATAGTCTGTACGGTTGAAAATACATGTTAAAAATGATCTTTATTTTACAGTTTGTGGCATAATAACGTTTATTTTCAATTATCAATAACGCACAAGCTTTTGTTGTATACTTAACAAAACAGCGACAGAATTATTTAACAAAAAAATAACACTTTTTAAATAAATACATGAGTTTAGAAATAAAAAGGAAAAAATTAAAATCTGGAAACCTGATTTTGAGGGTGGCGTAGACCTACTCCACCCCTGTAAATAACTCGTTTTGTGTCCAATTTTTGTGCACAATGATAAATTACAATTATAATTTTATGTTCAAAATTAGAAACTTTCTTTGCTGTAACTCAGAGTAGTAAAGGTCTACAGGTCTGAAAACGCGCAGTTGGGATTTAGAGCTGCAGGTTTAATCACAAAGAATCCTTAAGTCATGCATTAGTCATTCTACAGAAAACCATGCACCTTTATGTTGCTCCGTGGATCTGTCTGTGCAGTGAGTAACTTAAATCCAAGTCTAACCCTGCTGTGCGCGCCCCCGCCCCGCCCATTCCTGCTCAGCTATAAAACCGCAGTTTGACAGCTCGCAGTTTACTGAGCAGGAGGGATCTACCGCTGATCTCAAACCTTTCCACCTTCCCCGCTGCTCTCAAACTAAAACACTTATCAAACACGACTCTGACACTCGCCTTCACTCGGTTTGAACTCGACGCCGAGCGGAGCGCGCGGACTTTTACGCACTTGTACAACTTGGATTCCACCCGGAGCTCTTCGCCATGAACGCCCGGGTTTAGGTCCCTCCATGGAGCTGTCAAACCTGTACGAGGTGGCGCCGCGGCCCCTGATGAGCAGCTTGACGCACGGCCTCCACCACAGCCAGCAACAGAACCCGCAGCACCCCCAGCACCAGCAGCCCAACCCCGGTGACTTCGGCGGGGACATCGGTGACCACGAGACGTCCATTGACCTGAGCGCGTACATAGACCCCTCCGCGTTCAACGACGACTTTTTGGCCGATTTGTTCCACCACAACTCGCGGCAGGACAAGTTAAAGGCGATGAACGCGGAGTACGAGCAAGTGCAATGCGGTCCGACCCAGCAGCAGCTATACATGTCTGGATACATGGACTCCAAGTTAGAGCCGCTGTACGAGCCGCGAATCAGACCCGTGGCCATTAAGCAAGAGCCACGCGACGAGGACGATCTGACCCACGCGATGCCCCCGACGTACCACCACGCGCAGCAGTACGCCGGGCACGCGCAGCAGGCACAACAGCAGCAGCAAATGCCTCACCTCCAGTACCAGATCGCTCACTGCGCGCAAACCACAATGCACCTCCAGCCCGGGCACCCCACGCCTCCGCCTACCCCGGTCCCGAGCCCGCACCACAGCCACCACGGCCACCACCACCACCCGGGCAAGATGCTGGACCGCAAATCCAAAAAGCACGTGGATAAGAGCAGTCCCGAGTACAGGCTGCGGCGCGAGAGGAACAACGTGGCCGTGCGTAAAAGCAGGGACAAGGCGAAGATGCGTAATTTGGAGACGCAGCAGAAAGTGGTGGAGCTCTCCGCGGACAACGAGAGGCTCCGGCGCAGAGTGGAGCATCTGACCCGGGAGCTGGACACTCTCCGGGGCATCTTCAGACAACTGCCCGACGGATCGTACAAACCTATGGGCAGCTGAGAGCGCACGGTGCCCCCGGGGGAGAGCGACGGTAAAATTTTGAGCTGGAGTTTTTCTTGTAACGCGAAGACAGGGGCATTTTTTTTTTTTTTTGGACTCTGGTACTCCGCTGTGGTTGAACTGTCCCGAGATAGGCAATCCTTAAACCAGGTCTTGACTTGGACCCGTGCCAGAGTAAGCATTGGAACAGCACTAAAACTTAACAAAAAACTATATAGCCTAACGATTTTTGGTTTTGCAATCTGACTACAAAGTTTTATTAGCTACAATTTGAATTAAAACATGAAAAAATCTTGGAGTGTATTCGATTTTAGCACACAAAAGCTGCACAAATTCGATGCAAATTTAAATTTAATTTAATTTCGACATAAACCAGGGACTGCAGGTGGAAATCAGCTCTTTTGCTAGAACCTGCCGCAAACATTTTTCCTCTTTTGTGCAGGTCAGTGTTTGTGCGTTGTCCCTCGTAACTAAACAAAACAATAAAATAGTGATAATAAAACAAAACCAAGACTTAACCATGAACCAAATAAGACTATATAGCACTATCGGGACAAACTATGGCACTGAGAGAAAGCCCAAGGACTGCAGCGACTGGTGACAATATAAGAATGAGGACACAGTGTTGAAAACTGCCTGTTACTGACACCAGAGTTGCATATTTCACATTTTAACCAACTTCGCTGTCAAGATGCGAGAGACTGGAGCACTGCCAAAAAACTTCGCAGCTCAGCCTTTTGGTTTTTGTTTTTTTTTCTACAAACTGTGCAGGACCAATCGACGAATACACAATCTTCAGGCAAAACGCAACATCTCAAACTCAAGCAGAGACTGAACTGGAAGCAGAGACTTTGCTCGAACATTCAAACGGGACACGTCATGTATTATAAACTTCTATTACGGACAGATTTTCGTGTGCCTTTTTGAGTATTTTGTGCGAAAACCCATAAGCTGGTCGTCCTTGCACCACGACTATACAGAAGTGCCTGAAAACTCTTTACGATAAAAACAATAAAAATAAAAACAAACTTAAAACATGTAACGTCCATCTGTAAGTGCAGCTATGGTAGGTCGGGCATGGCATGTTTCGTCGACAATCGCGTCGGTTTTTTTAACGATTTCTGACTTTCCGAAACGTTGGTGCGCACTCTTCTCGCAACCCTAACCGTGATAATCTGCAAAAACGTGAACATTTGAAGTTAATTTTCAGACTATAAACACATCTCCGATTACAGCGTTTTCATTTTAACAGCCAGACGCTCTATTGTTTGTAAAAAAAATAATAAAAATACATGGTGAATGCACATGCAGCTTCCCCCATGCAATAACTGGATTACATTTGTGTCAATTTAAGTTGTACAGAGACCAATTCTGTCAAACCCCGCCAAAATAAAAGCGGGATGTTTTTGTGTACTTCCTGAAAGCGTTCCACGAATGAAAACGTGGTCGATGGTTTTTAATGTATGTGTGTAAAATAGATATTATATCAAAAATATTGTAATGTTATTGTTAATATTATCTCATGCTTTTATTACAATGCCAAAGTGAACCAAATAATAATAATAATACAATGACTGGAACAGAGCTGTGGTACCTGCTTTATTTATTTTGTCTGGTTTAAAACATGCAACTCGAGTCATTTCACGTAGTTTTAGATTCATCATTTCACATTAGATGACTTTTTGTTGTTTTCATCATACATTTTCAGTTCTGTAATGAGAAAAAACGAAAAAAATCAGCTTGAAATTTCAGTTTTCATCTTCACATTTGTAGGTCAGGGCACAGAATTTCACCAAGTATAACAATTTTACAGCTATTTACAACTAGAATAAGCAAAATTTCTCAATATTTATCATGAAAATGAATCTAAAATTTAAGAATTAGTTAGAAAAGTGTAAACAGAAGCGTTAACAGTGAACAAAACAGATGATTTTAGGTGCAAAAATGAACCCAAAATTTAATCCACATATAAAAATAACTTCTCCTAATATAATAAATTAATAAAAATTCAAATTACAATGCAGATTTATTACTGTTTGTACATTTTTTAGGTCCAAAGTGTCAAAATTCTCGCAAATAATCCATCTTACATTGTCAATTTTGGATTTTCTTGCATTAAATTAATATTTTTTCCAATATCGTCCAATGAAATTTGTAATCAGAGATGCATGTTTTAGTCAGAGAGGTAATTAAAGCTCGTTTCTCGTATGCACTATGAAGTAAAGCACAGTTCAAATGGTTTTCTGGGTACTGATCTGAAACAAAACATCTCTTTTCTTGTATTTATGTGAAAAACGTTTGGGTTTATACGACGTAAAATGGAGCTGGAGGACGATTTTTTTCTACAGTGGGGTTTTATTTTTGAGTTAGATTTCAGATTTTTTTGACCTGGTTTATGGTTCATATCTGTGTAATTACTCCTCCTGAAAACAAAAACTGGCATAGTAACTTGGAATATATCGAGGATTTTTAACCACGAAATGAATATCGCAAATGTACGCAAGCAATACCTGACGAAAAAACACAACGTATTTGAATATTTATGGATTTCCTGTTTGTGAATAGCCCCTAGAATGACACAATCCCCTTCCCCATCTGAAATTCTGATGTTAAATTCTAAAAAGTTGTGAATGTAAAATTCTCAAAAATGTCGAAAATGTGAAAGGGTTCTATGCAATGGTTTCTTCTTCTTCTTCTTCCTCACGCGGTGCCTTCTGTAGAGATGAACTTTGCCCTTTCGCCGGAAAAGGACGCACTTTTGTTAAATATTTTCTTTCTTTCACGAGCTTTCTGTTGTTTCAAAATGTTGTTCGGGGTCCAATTGTACAAAAGCCTCTATAAATATATAAATAAGTATATGAAAACCAAAAATCTGGATTATAATAAAAGAGCCTGTTTTATTAATCCACCTGTTTTTGCTTGTTTCTTATGTGTCTTGTTTTAAATATAAATGGTATAAGCAGCTTTTGACGTAAAAATGAGTCTGTCTGGGTCTATAATCAGGAAGTGCAAGTTTGCATATTAGTTGTTGTAATGGCAAAACTCTGCTCTGGCCTCGGAGAGTTGTGAAAAGCGAGTATAAAGTGTAAAATAATGGTAAATAATTAATATTGTTTAAGGTAAATGAGGAAAATTTTTTCTGTTTTTCACATTTTAAGACAAATAATACATAAATAAATGAATAAATACACAAATAACGATAAAAATAAATAAAAAATCATTTTACAGAGAAGTCAAGTTTTAACCTTAAAGGGCCAGTATGTAATATTTATTTCTTCCAGTTCAGGGAAAACACGTTTTACTTTTAAGAGCAAAACATTTGAAGAGACAAGTGAGGCTAAAAATAGACCACAATACTTGTCAGGACTAAAACCAGGCCAAACCAGGTCTAAACCAGGACTAAACCAGATCTAAACCAGGACTGAAATAGGTCTAAACCTGGACTAAATATATAAATACGTATATGAAAAACTAAAATCTGGATTATAATAAAAGAGCCTTAAAAGAGTTTTATTAATCCACCTGTTTTTGCTTGTTTCTTATGTGTCTTGTTTTAAATATATCATATAAGCAGCTTTTGACGTAAAAATCTAAAAAATGAGTCTGCTGCATGCTGTATGTGTCTATAATCAGGAAGTGCACGTTAGCATGTTAGTTGTTGTAATGACAAAACTCTGCTCTGGTCTCGGAGAGCTGTGAAAAGCGATTATAACCTGTATATAACGATAAATATTTAGAATTGTATAAGGTAAATGAGGAAAAAAAAATTCTGTTTTTCACATTTTAAGACAAATATTACATAAATAAATGAAAAATGATCAAAACAAATAAAAATCTGATAACAGAGAAGTCAAGTTTTAACCTTAAAGGGCCAGTATGTAACATTTATTTCTTCCAGTTCAGGGAAAACACGTTTTACTTTTAAGAGCAAAACATCTGAAGGGAGAAGTGAGAGTACAAAGAGACCACAATACTTGTCAGGACTAAAACCAGGCCAAACCAGGTCTAAACTAGGTCTAAACCAGGTCTAAACCAGGACTAAATATAAATATAAAAAAGTATATGAAAACCAAAAATCTGGATTATAAAAAAAGAGCCTTAAAAGAGTTTTATTAATCCACCTGTTTTTGCTTGTTTCTTATGTGTCTTGTTTTAAATATATCATATAAGCAGCTTTTGACGTAAAAATCTGAAAAATAAGTCTGCTGCGTGCTGTATGTGTCTATAATCAGGAAGTGCACGTTAGCATGTTAGTTGTTGTAAGGGCAAAACTCTGCTCTGGCCTCTGAGACTTGTGAAAAGCGATTATAAATTGTAAATAATGATAAATAATTAGAACTGTATAAGGTAAATGAGGAAAAAAAAAAAAAATATTACATAAATAAATGAAAAATGATAAAATAAAAAAAAATCAGGTAACAGAAAAGTCAAATTTTAACCTTAAAGGGCCAGTATGTAATGTTTATTTCTTCCAGTTCAGGGAAAACATGTTTTACTTTTAAGAGCAAAACATCTGAAGGGACAAGTGAGAGTACGAGCCACAATATAGCCACAGCTGCCCTGGGGCTGACTGACAGAGGTGTGGCTGATCTGGGCAGGCACAGCGGCTCTCACTTCACAGTAAAAAAAAAAAAAAAACAGAAAAAAAAAAAAAAAAGTAAAATAAAAAATCTAGGTGAGTTAAAATGATTAAATTAGGATTTTCTTGTTGTGTTTGTCAGGACTAAAACCAGGTCTAAACCAAGACTAAACTAAGGACTAAACCAGGTCTAAATCAGGTCTAAACCAGGTCTAAACCAAGACTAAACTAAGGACTAAACCAGGTCTAAATCTGGTCTAAACCAGGTCTAAACCAAGACTAAACTAAGGACTAAACCAGGTCTAAATCAGGTCTAAACCAAGACTAAACTAAGGACTAAACCAGGCCTAAAACCAGGACTAAACCAGGACTAAACCAGGACTAAAACCAGGACTAAACCAGGTCTAAACCAGGTGTAAAACCAGGACTAAACCAGGACCAAACCAGGTCTAAACCAGGACTAAACCAGGACTAAACCAGGACTAAACCAGGACTAAACCAGGTCTAAACCAGGACTAAACTAAGGACTAAACCAGGACTAAACCAGGACTAAACCAGGTCTAAACCAGGACTAAACCAGGTCTAAACCAGGACTAACCAGGACAAACCAGGTCTAAACCAGGACTAAACCAGGACTAAACCAGGCCTAAACCAGGACTAAACCAGGACCAAACCAGGTCTAAACCAGCTCTAAACCAGGACTAAACCAGGATTAAAACCATTAAGTTTCAATCACACGTTCAACACACAAATATTTAGGCTACGAGTTTTTCTGAATTTTCCTTCCTGTTTTATCAGAAAGAATACGTTTTCTTTCTGATAAAACAGGAAGTGCTCCACTGTGTTTTCAAACTCCACACACCTTCACTAGAATCAGTTGGATCATTTCAGCCCTGGAATTGTAAAGGAAATAAAAGTAGCTGCAAACTAAAATACAAAAACTACGGCTTCATGACATCACAAGGTGGATCAGAGCGTTTAGAGCTTTGGAGATGTAAACAAACTAACAATAAAGTGTGACTCAAACATGTGTGAATGAAACAAAACACAACTCCAGGTCTGTTTTTGGTGAAGTAACGACATTATAACACGACTCAAAGCTCACAAGAGTCAGACTAGTCAAATTATCTACCAATGCAATAAGTGAGTTTTTCTTAATTCAAGCAATATTTGATTTTTTTTTCTTATTTTAAGTGTAAAAAGTTGTTGTTTTTCTTATTTTAATTGTAGCCAGATGTATTTTCATATTTTAAGTACAAAAAGTCTCGTTCCACTGGCAGATAATTTTATTCGTCAAGTGAAATTCAAATCACGACGAAACTTTCTTAATTCACGTCATCTTAACTTGACCAGATTTAGTTTTTTTTTTGCAGTGAATCTGTATCTGTGTAACTTTCCCGAGGTTGTTCAGGTTTCCCCTACTTTTCAAAACACTAAAAACACGTATAAAATATCCCGTCCCCCTTGAAAAAGAGATTCCTAATCTCAGCGGGACTTTCCTGGTTAAATAAAGTTCTCATATGATTATTCAGTCCCCTGTCCTCCAGCTGAAATTCTATCTTAGAATTCTAAAAATTCTCAAAAATATCCAAAAATGTGGAGGAGTTTTATGCAGTGGTTTTCTTCTTCCTCACGCCTTTTGTAGAGACGACCTTTGACATTTTGTGGGAAGAGGACAGACTTTTATTCTCAGTGGGACTTTCCTGCCTAAAATATGAAGGTCAGAAATCTAATAATGAAGAATGATTTTTTTATCCTACATTTTTGTCCCACAGTTTTATTATCCAGGCTGGTGTCACCTAGTGCCTCCGCTCAATTTCATTTCTCTCCAGCGACTAGCGCCTTCAAGACTGAGTTCAAGCACCTTCAAGACCGAGTCCAAGCTCCTTCAAGACCGAGACAAGACCGAGTCCAAGCGCCTTCAAGACCGAGACAAGACCGAGTCCAAGCACTTTCAAGACTGAGACAAGACCGAGTCCAAGCACCTTCAAGACTGAGACAAGAC